CGTTCACTCATCCTTGCGTCTTACGAACGAATCATGTCTGTTGTACGCCATCAATATTTCCCTAAACCAACTTCTTTCTAAAGAAAACACCCATTCCAATCACGCAGTTGTCGGGAATAGACAATATCACCGTCTGGGCCGAGAGCTGCTGACGATGGTGGACGCGTTCAGGTATGTTGGCTAGCATAGTTCGAGTGCAATTCGGCTGCTTCGGCTTCAGTTGGCTTAGAAGCCACCAATGCAAAACTATTGGGGGGGCGGAGTTGCATACTTTGTGTACGCATGCATGTGGGTGTAGTACAACGTCACTAAGTCTCCCAGACGCCCTAAGAAGATCCAACCGCCGCTGGTGTTCACAAAGTGGATTTGGGAAAGGCGGAGTGGCTCGGAGGGTTGCTGTGTGGTGGAAAGCGTAAGTCGCGAGCACATCCCAGCTTCTTTCTCTGTAGTATACACAATAAGCGAAAATCCTACGCGAGTCACCCTGCTTAAAGAAGTTCCGTGAAATGAGCCACATCATCAGACAATCGGTTAATTGATCACTTGAAACTGATTTGTACCCGGTATTGTGTTTAATATTGCATATTGTGCTTTTCCACTCCTTTTTCTTTTAAAGTTAGTTAGCACCAGAAAAAAAAAACAATGTTCGCAAAATGACTAAAAAGGGTGCATGGTTTGTCGGATACCGGTAACTTGCTGAAATATGCACAAAGGACAGACTGGCCGTTGTATCAACGTCTAAAAAGCATGCTAACTCTATGAAAAAAAAGCATTGTTACCCTTGCCTAATCATTGTAAACCATGTCATTGTGCTCCCGTGTGTGGTTAGAAAATGTGTTTAACAATTTTGAGCAATTAGTACTCACTTATGAGAGAGCCTAAAGTAATCCCTGTCCTATAGGAAGCAAAGACGTCGTCGACATATTAACCGATATTTTGTTTGCAAATAAAAACGAACCAATGCGTGAGCTTAAGGAAGCCTTTCATATAAATAGTTGTGCAAGAAAATGCATCAACCTTCGGTGGCTCTAACAGACCGCGAGTTCTTTTTTTTTCCAAATCTGTTTAGCCATGTGTTTTCTGACCGCGTGTCGCATGACTTGCGCCACACGTGATTTATGCTGGTTCTTGCGTACGTATGTACATACGTGCAATTCATTTCAAAAATAAATAGTTTAGAAGTAGTTCTCGTTCGTCACTATCTTTCTTGTCCTTGTCTTCTGTGCGTGCTTCAAGAAAGTTAAAATATGGATACACTCCAACTGACCCAGCTATTCAATTTTACCACTCTATACATCTTAAGCTCGCTACGTGCAATTCTCGCTTTCGATTCGTGCTTTCAAGAACTAAATGGCGAGGAGGATGCATCGCGTGTGCGAAGGTAGCGCAGGAGAGGTGAAAACCACCCCCTCCTCTTTGAACGCAGGGTGGTGAGTGGCCCTTTAAGGTACTCGTCTTTGGCTCTCCCGTTCACTCGTTATTTCTAGAGCGATATGATGGCTATTTGTTGGCACTCCTTCTGTTATGCGTCGACTGGCTGCTTTTCGCGTCTGGTGAGGAGTCGAAGGCTTTACTCCTAATAAAGCGCTGGTAATAAAAAAAAACGACCTTAATATTCGCTGTTATCTCCTAGAAAGAACTTTATTACGGAGAATTTTGACGATATATAATTCGGAAATAATGTCCTATTAATCTATACTGACACGCAAGCGTTGTCGTTTAGTCCCCGTCGGCCTACCCTAAAATATGAGCTCGTTGGCCCCTAACACATTTCGTTCGCGTATAACGAAATACATAACGAGGTTCGTCCTCCGAACGAACCTCGACTCTTTGTGGTCGTCGTCGTCCTTTTTCTAAGCCGACGACGTGGCCATAGAACGCCTCGCGGAAGATAAATCGACTCCGTCTATTACCGTCCACGCAGCATACGCCGAGCGTGCAATATCGCCTTTCTTTACTCCTACGTACTACATCCTTACGACGTATACAGCGCCGCAGCCGGCCATTTATGACGCATGGAATTAATCGCCTATTAACCGTTTTCTTTTTTTTCTTGCGCCTGTGTTCACTTCAGCGCTAGTGGAGTTTGGCATACTTTCATTGGTGTTATTGCTTGTGTTGCTGTAGACTATTCTTGTGCCCCGCTTGATATTCCCGCTTTCTTACATTATCTTCTTCTTTCTATTCTTTCTTTCCTTGCTTCTTTCCTCTCCCCTCTCTCTTTCTATATATATATATATATATATATATATATATATATATATATATCGGCTGCTTATCAGTGCATGATGGGTAGTGGGGCCACTGGTACATGTAGATTTTTCTTTTTCTCTCGCTCTCTCTCGGCTGGAAGTTGGCATAAAAACGCGTCGGAGCCTACTAAATTTCGTCTGATGAAGATCAGTCTCCGATCGAAACGTCACCAATAAACAGTTTTTTATAGGCGTATACTTATTTATCCTTAATTCTATGACAACCGAAGCCGGACTCTTTATAATCTACGTATATATATATATATATTGCTGCGCTTTCACTTCGTCCAGGTTCAAACGCGTGAGCGTCAAATATCCAACAAATATCAAACCGTCCGAACTTCAATTCTCGCTAAAGCCTCCTCGAAGATGAGTATTTTAGTGTCTTGGCGCATCTTTCTCTCCTGAATCGCAAAAGATAAGACATCAGTAATAAAACGTACCCCAGTGTGGTCAGGAACAGAAGTCCCGATATTTCGTTTCGTACGTACGCTAAGAATAGTATTTCGGATTCACGCTACAAGCACTTTCGATACGAGGCACACTACAGACATTTTACTACATTTTGACGGTTCTTCTTTAAAATTAATGTCGAGCTCCTTAAAACACTATCAATATTTTGCAAAAAAGAAAACAAAAGATACATTATAAGACTGAATTCTATAGCGAGAGATGACGAGCGATGTTTATATTTCGTGTGATTCCCCATTATTCGAGTTTTTTTTCAAGTGTCATGTATTGTTGTGTTGATTGTATCTATTATAGGGACTGCAACTTTGTTACGATGTTACTGAGGAGGTGTACTTCCCCTTCGCGATGCCTTATGATAGTGTAAGTGAAGCGTAAATGCAAAATATTTCACGAGGTGGGTACTTTGCGACACGTCATGCCTTCATAATTTACTTCAGAAGCTTTGGCTTTCCAAAACACTTCTCCGCGTGCCAGTGCGTCCTGAATCTGTCGATTGATTGATTGATTGATTGATTGATTGATTGATCGATCGATCGATTGATTGATTGATTGATTGATTGATTCATTGATTGATTTGTGGTGTTTAACGTCCTAAAACATCCGTATGAATATGAGAGACGCCGTAGTGGAGGGCTCCGGAAATTCCGACCACTTGGGGTTCTTTAACGTGCACCCGAATCTGAGCAAACAGGTTTACAACATTTCCGCCCCCATAAGAAATGCAGCCGCCGCCTGCGGGTCAGTGAATCTGTCGACTCCTAGGATTATTTCACTGTTTCCGTCTTCGGAAACTACGTCTACTTATAAAGTACTTCTCACGTCAGTTCGTGGTCGCAAACCAATTGTTCACTCGTCTTAAGCAATCAATAAAGAAGGTGTTGGAAACGAAACGACACTTAATGGGCCCGTGAAGCACTGTGATTTCGAAGACGAGAACGTGGTTTCGTTCTCGCTTTCACTGCACTTTCTACAGGCGCGATATCATTTTCGTCACTTATTTATTGATTAATCGCGCCGGCAGAGTAAGGACTGAGTCCTGAGCCTATCAGAATACCGCACTCGCGGCTGTACACTATCTTGGCTTGCGCAGTAGAAAACGCACAAAACGAAGTGAACTTGGTTCATCAATCCCGATAGTCAGGCGAGACAAGAAAGAACGGGCGTGCGACTGCGATGCGAAGCAGAGTAGGAGAAAATTAACACCCAATATTCCTCGCATATGGATTTATTGATTGATTGATTTGTGGGGTTTAACGTCCCAAAACCGCCATATGATTATGAGAAACGCCGTACTGGAGGGCTCCAGAAATTTCGACCACCTGGGATTCTTTAACGTGCACCCAAATCTGAGCACACGGGCCTACAACATTTCCGCCTCCATCGGAAATTCAGCCGCCGCAGCCGGAATTCGATACCGTGACCTGCGAATCAGCACTCGTAGATGGACAAATCGAGAACTTATTAAGAACAAGTTTGTTTTATCAGCATAAAACGTGTTCTTGGGTACGATCACTCAGTTTACGCCGAGCTAGAACGGCCTCGCTGTAAAAAAAAAAAAGAAGCAACTGATGACTTCAGAAGTGTTGTAGCTCGGGCAAGTTGATCATCCGTGGGCCTAGCTTGTATGGCCGAGGTATGCAACTGTACAGGTTTCTCTAATCTGTACAGCTGTGTTATGATCGGTTGGTCTCAAAATCAGCTGACACGTGAAATTAAAAAAAACCAGAGCTATATCAGGTATGGGTAACTTGGGTGTGAGTTCGCTATCGATTGCTTTAACGGTCTTGGAAAGAGATCACGTTCAAGATGAGTTGGTTTTTTTCAGCATGCATAAGACGGCTGTGAATAGCAGGAAAGAAACATTTGAAAGTTTGGCGCCTACCTTCTCTTTAGGTCTGTGTGGTGTTTCCTTCTATATGCCCTACCGCTGTGGTCTAGTGGCTAAGGTACTCGGTTGCTGTCCCGCAGGTCGCGGGATTGATTCCTGGCGGCGGCGGCTGCATTCTCGATTGAGGCGAAAATGGTGCATAGTCTCGTGTGCTCAGATTTGGGGGAACGTTAAAGAACCCCACGTGGTCAAAATTGTTGGAGCCCTCCACTACGGCGTCTCTGGTAATGGTGTGGTGATTTTCGGACGTTAAACCTCACATAAAAATCAATCAATCAATCAATCGTGTTTCCTTCTTATGTGTGTCATGCTACTACAAGCTAAGTTGATGAAGACTTCTATGTCAGTAACGCTTGAATGTGGCTGTCATTCTTGTTCAACTTGCGCAGGAGAGTGCGCCGGTGTGCTTCGCGGCCGACACGGCGCAAGAGCAGCAGTCGTGGGGCGAAGAGCTCCGCAAGAGGACGCAAGCGTGCTCGCTCAGCATCCAGGGCCTGAACCTCGAGGGATGCTCCAGCTACCCATCCGGTAGGTTTCAACGACGGACAGTACATTCGGCCGGTGATTGATTAGACAGGCGGACGGACGGACGGACAGGCGGGTCGGTGGGCGGGCGGGCAGGCGGGCAGACCCATTCTAAGATATTAAAATTTGTTTCATATCTGTAAGTCGAATAACGTTCACATTGAATCAGTTCCTGTGCATCACGTCTGAATAAAAAGTGCATAGAAAATAAAGCATGGTACCAGGGTCGTGACAAACAGACCTGCTTTATAACCCTAGAAGTAGAATCCGCCATGTTTTCTTTGCTGCTGAAAAAAATATATTCGTGTACTATACTATAAGATAGAAGTAAGGGGGTTTTCCTTTGTTTTATCTTATAGTATAGTACACGAATATATTTTTCACAAGCCAACGCTAAGAGTGGTGCGTGCAACTGTACGCTATACTTGAAAGACGACCGTACAAAGGTAACTCTGTGACAGAGTCGACGCCTACATACAATTGCTACAACGAATGTCCTCAACTTCGTGACAGTGTAACCACGGCTCAAATGCACGTTGTGTACTCGGATGTCTGGATATGTGTACCGTCGCCTGTTGTTCCGTTTCGCTAAGTTTTTTGCTTGTTTGCCTTATTCGATTTCTTTTATGGCAGCGCCGGGAGTTCAAAGCAAGGTTCAACCGGACGAAAATGTGCTCGCGCAAACACTGGAACTTCTCGACGAACTACTCAAGAAAAAGTCTGACGGCAAGAAGCTCAAAAAGGGAGATGTAAGTTCGTTTGTCTGCAGTCGTCTCACGTTTCTCGCGTCTCGATGTAGCTTCGCAAATAAGCATTGTTACTGCGTACAATCGATCGCATCAGATGCGTGCTCCGGGAATTTTAAGTGTGCTTTATTTCTTTCCAAATGTTTTTCTTTCTTTATTTATTTTTTAATAAAACTGTGTCTGAGAGTAGCTAGACTTGACGACTTCTTTCTTACTGAGAGAAATGCAGTGCGACTTGCACGAAGACCGAAGACAAAAATGGACACAAGCTAGTGTCTGCGTCTATCCGTGTCTCATGTCTCCGTAGAAGTTGCACTTGCATTGCACCGAATGTTTCTGAGCTTGTTTCTCTCCCCCTTGAATTTTGAAATTAGATATGATGCCACACGAGGGCCGATTTGTAAAAAAAAAAATGTGCAGGTGTCTCGAAGGCAGGGCTGTTAGAAATCTCCCCCCCCCCCGTGGAGTTGTACTTTATATATATATATATATATATATATATATATATATATATATATATATATATATATATATATATATATATATATATATATATATATTTATATATAACTTTTTTTTCTCTCTTTCTTTTCCGAGACTATCAGCTAAAAGAGTTCTCGCACCATTTGCAGGAGTCTATGGGCATGTCCCAGGACGTCGAGGAAGTCGAACAAGCCTCCATCATGGCCCATCAGGAGGCACTCCGCAAGGCCACCCACCTGAGGCAACGAAAGATATCTACTGAGCTCAAGGTCAGTCTGCCGCCACAGGGCTGTATATACAGCGCATGCGCGTAAGTTCCTGCCGATGTGCCTGCTCAAAAAAAACTATAGCGCTCACGCCTTAGATCTTGTTTCGCTGCTGAGCCTGCTCCCTGGCGCTGTTTCTGACGTCCCTCAGCGAGAGCGGGCCGAGGCAGCCTCAAAACAGGGCGCATTCATTCTTTTACTAACGAGCGTATTCTGCCGAAACGAGCTCCCGTTTTGTTCTGTTCATTTATTTTTCGGTGGTATGTGGCTCCTGCGCCGGCCATTTTGTCATTTCCGGAGTTTCTTTGGCGTGGTGGAGAAAGAGACTTATCCTCGGACGCTTACCGCGTGGACGTACAAGTTCTTGCTCGAACGTACGGGTTCGGCCAGTACACGCGCCTTCCGCGCGCTCTGCATCGTTGGCCACGTCACATCAAAAAGAGCTCGTTACACGGGGTATCACATTAGAAGTAAGTGTTGGCTGCCGTTCATTTCATGCGCTATAGCAGGGTCTGGCAACGTTTGAGGCCGGGCCGAAATACATGAAAGCTGACATAGCGGGGCAACAAGGCAAACTTTCAAACTTAAGGGGGGAAGGGGGAGGGTTATTTGCAGACAAACAAGAAAAACTCGGTTAATTTACAGTTGTGGTGTGCAATGTAGGAATAGATATCGTGTTCATTTTCAGCACGCTTGTCACCAGGTTGCAATTTATAAACCTATAGGGTACAAGCAAAAATAAGGGAGGGGCTCCTTGTGTGCTATTTGTCGTGCTGAACATTCTCAGCCAACGCCCCTGCTACCACGTTGTAACTCACTATTACCGAAATTTCTGCCTGAGGTATCCTAGCACCACCTTAACCTCGTACCAGAAGTTACCAGGCTTCCAGGTACAGTCTTCAAACGGCCACCGTCAGGACTCCTTTCTTTCTCCCCTTTTTACGCATAGCGAAACTGCTATTCATTGCATATTGTGTCCTAGCACCAGGGACGACTGTAATCACGCCTTTGCGAATTTCCCAAGCAAACACAAGCGCCCGTGGCAAGGCTTCGAACACCAGAAGCGACGTTCACCAGGCTTCGAACGCCAGTTGCGAGCTGCTGTGCGCATCTCGCAACCGGAGCTACAGAGTGGGCTGGGCCCAAGTGGCCACCCAAGTGGGCGATATTTTAAAGTGGCCCAAGAGCTCATCGTCATAGTGCTTCCACTCCTTCTTCCCCTCAAATGATTATTTCTAAAGCAATAAAGTTGTTTACCTACCTACTTCACAAATTTCTACAAACCTACAGGGGCAGAAAGTAGTGTAGGCGTTCATTGGTTAGTTAGAGGGGGGGGGAGGAGGAGGTATGGCCTTGTGTCAGTAGTCACATAATACAGCCTCGCGGGCCGCAGATCCATGCTCTGTAAAATCAACCGCTTGACAACATGTCCGGACCATGGCGACAGGGAGAGAGGTGGAAGGCAAAGTAGTTTTACCGGCAGACTGATGGATGTGCTGTTCTATCAGGAGAAAGTCTGGTTAAGTCAAAGTAGTTTTCTTACCTATTTCTGAGGAATAAACCGGCCCTATATAATGTACCTCTTGCGGGAGTGCAGCTCATTGAAGTGGAGAAGCCGAACTAAAAAGTTTTAAAAAATGTGCCATGAAGGAATTTTTCCGACTTAAGTGGCAAACGTAGGTGGCATACTGTGTCAGTGGCCTGTCTGCGCGGAATTCATTTATCAAAACATTAAAATATGGTACATAAAATGCGTTTCGGCAATAAAGCAGATTTCGTAAAAGTTAGCAAACATTAAGATTGAAAGAAAAAACACGAAATTATCGATGCAGTTTCTGTCACGAAACACGCAAGTGAATATACCTAGCCAAATAACACTTTATTATTACAAGAAGCCGCAGTAAAAAAAAATTGAGTACCCTTAAGTTTTGCCCACAGGAGTTGACTACGATAGTGATATCCGGTCCATAGTGCGTACTTCAGATACTTAGTGCATCAAATCTTTTCGAACGTGATACGCACCCACTGCGTGGCCTTGAGGGAATAGGCCCAGTAACATGCCTACCTTTTGTAGAGAGTGATCGGCTCTAAACCATGCAGTTATCATGATAACAACATGTTCTGACGCCTGATGGTAATGTACGCTTGTACGACGCATTAGGACGGCAATATTTCATCTTGTATTGTGAAGCATCTGCATAGAGGACACGTGTGTTTGTAAATCGTGACAGTTACTTTCACTGCGATTCCAAGCGGATTAAGTTATTTTCACTGTATTTACAAGCAGACGTGTAGCTGTGTGGTGGAACACCTACAAGACAGGCAAACTACCCGGGTTCGATCCACACTCGTACCTGGCTTTGTTTTGTTATATTATTTGCATCTTTCACGATTTTTCGTTCATGCACAAGATGACAATTTTTTCGCTGACAACCAACAACATCAACGGCGGAGTTTCGGCGATACGAGCTATTTAACGTAAAAGTGTAATTATTTCCGTGCGATATCACTATCAGTGCATGATGTTATATCTCGCTCTATACACACTGTCCTTCATGACAGAACGTCAAGAACCTTCTCTAAAGCTGTTCAAACACAAATATTGAATGACATTAAACGTGTAAACACAAGCATTGCATAAGATTACACCTTTCACGGAATAGACGCAGTTACAACCGTGCGTACCAGCCTATAGTTTTCTGCCAAATCGTACAGCTTGTGATGAAAGGCTTCACTGAGGCTTTCCGTTTACGCAGATTTAGGCGTGGGCCAGGAGGTGATTCGTTTCTTTCTATTTTCTTTTTTGTGCTTAGATGGCGCAACACAATCTCAGCAGCAGTGGGCTTAGCTCTTCCGAAAATTGCCCGGCGGGCGCTTGAACCGCCTTGATTGATTGCTGTTTGCACGTTAGGTTATTTTTTATTCGTTTTTTCTTTACTCTAAACTGAGGCTCTCCGCAGGTATGAACTTTCAGCCTTGCCCTGCACCTCAAACTTTCCAGGGAGTGTTGTCCTACAAGGGGAACAGGGTCAACAGAATAAAAGCACGCCAGAAAACAATCTGCGGATGGGTGTAATTTAACTGGGCAGGATGGATGGTGGAAAAAAAAAAATGGCGGTACTTGAAAGAAAATGGATGGGCTGACGAGAAAACACTTACCGTGCATTTTGGCGTGCCGAGCCAGATTAAGCGTAGAAAACGAGCCGTGTTGAAAGAGGTAAGTGCCATATTAAATCAACGGGAAATATTGCTCAGGCCGTTCAAAATAGTTAACGACAGTATAAAAGATAAAAAAGAGCTCTACAGTCTGGGCCAAATACATAATCAACAGGCTTAAATGTTTCAACCCTTCCTACCACAAAATGGGTCGATTAAAGGGTCCTTGTCACCCAGTTTTCATTCATAATCAGTGTTTATTGATTGATTGATTGATTGATTGATTGATTGATTGATTGATTGATTGATTGATTGATATGTGGGGTTTAACGTCCTAAAACCACCATATGAATATGAGAGACGCCGTAGTGGAGGGCTCCGGAAATTTTGACCACCTGGGGTTCTCTAACGTGCGCCCAAATCTGAGCACACGGGCCTACAACATTTCATAATCAGTGTTATGCGGGTTATTTCTTGTGCCCTCTTCTGAAATCTTTTATTCCCCCTTCCTATACACAATGGCATACCAACTAGCTCAACGTTCCGTTCTTCTACCCTACACAGAGTAGTGTGCCTGCGATATATAGACGACGGCAAAATTATAAGTTTTTCTGATAAAGAGTCTCTATCTCTAATGCCTTCACAAGTAAGCGGGCCAAATTTTAGCGCATTTGGTTGGCACTTACTTTAAGATAATAAAACACACACACACACACACACACACACACACACACACACATATATATATATATATATATATATATATATATATATATATATATATATAAATATATATATATATATATATATATATATATATATATATATAAATATATATATATATATATATATATATATATATAAGGCAAAAAAGTATACTTAAGGGCTCGTTCTTTCCGTGTTTATCACAATATTAATGAGATCTAACAGACAGATCTAACAGATTGATTGATTTGTGGGGTTTAACGTCCCAAAACCACCATTTGATTATGAGAGACGCCGTAGTGGAGGGCTCCGGAAATTTTGACCACCTGGGGTTCTTTAACGTGCACCCAAATCTGAGTACACGGGCCTACAACATTTCCGCCTCCATCGGAAACAGACAGATCTAACAGATGCCAAGGAATGTATAGAGGAAGTTATTGGACCAATTGAATTGTAAATGTGAAGAAAGAAAAGGGGGTGAAAAGGTAACTTGCCGTGAGCAGGAACCGAACCTGCGACCTTCGAACATGCAATATACGAGAGCGGTCCACTGGCTAACTTGCGAGCATTGACGTAACAAGGGGCTAGTTGTGCGAAGAACCTTCGGCACATTCAACTATGGCCCCGTCTCCGCTTGAAGCATGACGGGCGCCGCCATTACTTGGGCAAATATGCAGCGCAGAGAAGCGCACTTTGCGAATTACGAAAAGTGTTCATTGTGTCCAACACTTGTTTTTACTAGTGGCTCAAATAGAGCAAGATACATTAAGGGTTGGATGAATCGAGCTTACTACATAACTACTGTGTCTTTATTTAAACTCTCTTTGCAGCATGCTGATGCGCATGATCACTTCGTTTAAGGCACTATCATGTTCAATTAGTCGTTCGACCTTCCGCCTTCTGCAAGCCCCGTGCAAAAGTCAAACTTAGCTTTGCACTAAATAAACACAACCGAAAAAAAAAACGAATTCTTATTATATTTCAAGTACCGATCCGGATCAATTTGTGCAAAAACAAAACATCAATGACTTCAGGCTTGAAAGATATTCAGTTATGATTCAATCTAGAATAAACATCATGAAGCGCCTAAACCAGCGTATTATTTATTACCTTACTTTACTTATAATAGAATATCAAGCGCCTTGAATTCTTGCCATGTAAGTTTGACGCGCATGTGGGCTGTTATTCATAAATGTCATCTGAAAGGATTAAGAGAGATATAACAGGTTTTTGGGTACCCAACTGTTAATAATTGTGAACATTTAAAAGAAGAAATAACATATATAAGAACAATATGTGGTGTTAAACAAACTTTCGCAATTGTCCAAGTCTGCTAGAAGGTCAACAAAAAGTTATAAATGTGCTGACTGCCACCTAGATTCCGTGAAGTGCGTGAAACAGTGGATCTCTTCTAAAGTCCCATGCTGTGAAGGTGCTCCAGTCAGCAAATAGACTCCGCAGGGCCTCACCGGGAGTAATGGTACCGCACGCTGCTGTGCTCCCGTTTACAGGACCAAACCTGAGTTACACATCAGGCCAGGGAGGCTACAAGGAATACATGGAATCTAGCCGCGACTTGGTGATAAAGGACGTGGTGCTCATACACGGACACAAGAGAGAAGTCAAGGCGCGACTAACGAACATTTCTGGTGTTTTGACTTCTCTCTAGTGTGTGTCCGTGTTTGTACGGACACTGATGTCTTTTAACACGAATACGTGCCTACAGGCTCAGCTCCATATTCTAGCCGTAAGTAGTCTAATCTAGTCGAATTTCGAAATCAATTGTTTCACTCCACTCCACTTTTCTCCCTCACTCACTCACTAACATGTACCACGAACAATGTTAATTATGACTTATAGGTAATAGTCAGCGAGCGAACAGGTCTCAGGGTACATAACCCTCACTTTGAGCTGAAATGTGTGCTCTTTTTTCATATAGGCGTGAAGTGTACCTTCCGCGATGCATTGTTAGAAAAACAAAACTCTCTCTCTATCGCCTCAGGTGGAGACCCTGCAGAGGCAGCTGCGCAAACCGAGCAAGAAGTCACAACCGCGGGCCATACCCGAGTTGCCCGAAGGTCGAGAACTCGTCGAAGAACAACTCCAGGAGCTGACGCAGAAGCTGCGCCTGCTCGAAGGCAACCTGGGGCAGACCGAGCGTCAGGCGCAGAAAGTGCGTCGCGAGTGGGACAAAAAGATGGAAGAGGTACGAGCTTACGCTTCCAATACATAACCCCGAGAGAGATGAACTGCGCTAGAATGCTTATTTGCAACTGGTTGTTAAGTGCCCTTAGATACTAAGAAACAGTGCGCACAACAGGACCAGACAGAGATTGAACAAAGGCACTTGCCGCCTCCTTTTTCCGCCCGCTTTCAGAGCCTGCCGCCTTGCCACTTTGGCCGCCCCGCCTTCCACGTAAACGAGACTTAAGCGAGGCAGTCGCGCAACGCTCTATCTGCGGCGGTTGTTGTAAATTGTCTGAGCGGAATTGTCTGCGGCGGTCCCCCCACTACTCATGCTGTTCTCGCCTTAATGTAAACGGTGCACAAACAGTCTCAGTCAGTCATCTCTGAGCAATCAACTATGCAACTGGTAGAAGTGCGTTGTCTGCCACCGCTTCTAAACGAGCTGCCCGAGCAGAGGCTCGACGCTGGCGATACCAGGATCCAGAGGTGCGAGCCACCGAAGCAGAAGCATTTGCTTCAACTTATCGCAAAAAAAATACCAAATTTCTAAAATGCCTGAAGGGTGCCGTAATCGTCGGTAAATATTATTAAATTTTTAATTAATTGTTGGTAAGTTTCTTTTTGCTTTTTGCTTTCGTGTGTGTCATTACATCATTTAACGAGCTTATTCCACACTGGCCGACGCTGCCCTTTTGTTTGTGTGGCACTGGCTAACATTACCTATAGCTAACCACGGCTCGTAGCATATGAGTAAGTACTGTAAGCCGGATGCTGCTACTATGTTAGTAAATGCGGTAGACGAAGGAACCCATCACGATTCACCACTCTGCACAGTATCGATCGGTTTAAAGTCCCAAACGACACCCCCCCTCCCCCTTGATATCTGATGACGCACAGAAAAAGAGGGAGGTAACAGCACAGGCACTGACACTCAGCTTCACTCATAGAAAGCATGACTGGTACATGAACATGCAAACAAAATTATAATAAATAATCGGCAGCACAGTGCAGTGCACAACTCATTTCGGAATCGTCACGCGTAAGAGCCCCTTTTTAGCGATGTCCACTTCGACGAATGCCTAAGCGAGTGTCGTCATCATTATCAGCCCATGTGAGCCTATCATACGTCTATGGTAGGACGAAAGCCTCTCCCAATTATCACCAACTTACACTTTCCAGGGTGAGTGGATGAATAACCGAGCTAATCTGGTGGTTATCGCCGAAGCAAGCTGCTCCGCATAAATACACTTGATGTGGCAAAGCCGACTTTAACAAGCACTGTTCAGTGGCTAAGCATATTTGCATGTGAAGGGCTCCATTTTGATCGGCGCGTCGAGCGTTAATGCGGTGCTCGTTCGCCATAGTCTTTTGTTAATACTAGTCATCAAACATAATTGGACTGAAGTTTTATTTTGGCAGTTTTGTAAGCTGTTCAGTTACTTCAAAAAGCACGTAACGGCGTCATGGCAGGGGTATACAGTATATTACTAGGAAGGGCAACAGCTGAGAGACAGTACCGTCGGTGGAAATCCAAGTAAGGCACACGTTCAGGGGAACTTGGAAACCTCGAGAGATGAAACATACTTGAACACAGGGTGTCGCCAGACTGGATGTTTCGGCTAACGGGTTTGTCTTCTTCAAGGCTGTGACACCCTGCGTTCAAGAATACATACAGTGTAGCTCTTATAGCCTAGCTTTGTTCGTCCACAGCAAGGGTGTCATAGCATAGCCCTCGCTGAATAGAGAGAGGGCACAAGCGCATAGCGAGAGAGAAACCATGGCATAAGCCAAGCAGGGAAGAGAGTGTAGGCCCAGTATATCAGAGTTGGGAAAGAGAGGCGAGGCTGAGTGTAGAGAAGGAGGCGAAAGAGCGAAGCGGTGGGGTGTCAATGCATGGAATGAATCAGTCGGGAGGAGGAGGGAGGCGCGTGGGAAAGGAGAGAGAAGATTACGAGGAAGGGAGAGAGGAAAACACAGGGAAGGCCCAGGACATGCATGTTCTCTCATTTCCTTTTTTTTTTTCCTTTTTAATGCTTATCAGAATGAAACAACTTGTCCCAAGAACAAGCATGTTGTCCAAATTAAGAAATATTTGAACGTATGTTGTTACCCCCCCCCCCCCTTCAGTAACAGCCTAGGGCGATGCGGGGTTTTTCTTGAATAAGGAAGAAAAATAAAGAAGTGCCTAAGTACTCAATAAAGCTTCGCCTCAGCTCCGCTGTTCATCGGTGTTTGCGATAGTTATTTCACGCCTGTAATTTTCAGTAACGACCACGGCACGACCATAAAAGTTATGACATTACCAGAACGGTTCAATAATTTTGTGCTCTGCGCCATGCAGAAAAGGGGGTCGCAGGATGCGCGAGTCTCTCGCATGTTCTATATACTCACTTTCTTTTGCAGTTTCCTTCTGCGCGAAACATTTTCGGAGTGACATACAAACTCTCCCAAAGTGATATTTTGACTAACAAGTCACCGAAGTATCAATGTGTCAACGTGCGTGAGCTTACAATTGTGACCCACCAAGGTGGAATAGCAGTTATGATGCTCCATTATTTACTCGAAGGTCCCGGGATAGAATGCCAGTTGTTGCGGCTACAGCTTGACGGATTCGAAACATGTGCCTAAATTTAGCAGCACGTCTCAGTGTAACCTAATACGCCTGAAATTCTGCGCCCAGTACCTTGAAAAACAGCAGTGTTCTTTAAGCTCCCACGATATTATTCAAAGCTCACTTTTATTTATCTCTTTATCGTTTCATCTTTTAATCCTCTCTCACCAGCGCAGGATAGCAAAACGGATTAATGCTTCCTTCACGTTCCTGTCTTTTCTTGTTCTTTTTCCTTTGAGATCCCCAGGTGACCCAAAATTTTCCAAGCATTATAGTACGGTGTTCCTCATAATCACATCGTGGTTATGGGACGCGAAACATCAGCAAATTTTATATTATAAAAAAAGTGTGTGATGATTGGTCCCTTTTGCAGGTGTACCAGCACCTGTTCGAGAACAGGCACCTGTCTCCGGAGGACGCCCTGCGCGAAAACTGGGCTGACTCATCATCGGCGCCCCGCATCCTGGTGTCGCGGACACAGGACGAGGGGCGCTCTGGCGGGTCGCTCAGGGTGCGCGCTGCCAAGTTCATGCCCCGCTCCAAAAAGCAGAAAGAAGAGGCAGGATGCAGCAGCAACAACGGCTCCATCATCAGGAAGTCCGCCTCGAACACATCTCGTAAGTATATGACAGAGAGCGGTTAGATAGATAGATAGATAGATAGATAGATAGATAGATAGATAGATAGATAGATAGATAGATAGATAGATAGATAGATAGCTAGATAGATAGATAGATAGATAGATAGATAGATAGATAGATAGATAGATAGATAGATAGATAGATAGATAGATAGATAGATAGATAGATAGACAGACAGACCGAGATAGATAGATAGATAGATAGATAGATAGATAGATAGATAGATAATAGATAGATCGATAGATAGATAGATAGATAGATAGATAGATAGATAGATAGATAGATAGATAGATAGATAGATAAGACAGAAGACAGACAGACAGACAGACAGACAGACAGACAGACAGACAGACAGACAGACAGACAGACAGACAGACAGACAGACAGACAGACAGACAGACAGACAGACAGACAGACAGACAGACAGACAGACAGATAGATAGAGATAGATAGCTAGATAGATAGATAGATAGCTAGATAGATAGATAGATAGATAGATCGATAGATAGCATAGATAGATAGATAGCTAGATAGATAGATAGATAGATAGATAGATAGATAGATAGATAGATAGCTAGATAGATAGATAGATAGATAGATAGATAGATAGATAGATAGATAGCTAGATAGATAGATAGATAGATAGATAGCTAGATAGATAGATAGATAGATAGATAGATAGATAGATAGATAGATTAGATAGCTAGATAGATAGATAGATAGATAGATAGATAGATAGATAGATAGATAGATAGATAGATAGATAGATAGATAGATAGATAGATAGATAGATAGATAGATAGATAGACGGACGGACGGACGGACTGCCACATCATTGTTTGACGTGGATGTACCCACGTTTACACCTAGTGCCACATCTCCTTCTCGATGACACACACCCATAGTCATGATTTGACCGCCCCGCCGCGGTGGTCTAGTGGCTAAGGTACTCGGCTGCTGACCCGCAGGGTGTGGGCTCGAATCCCGGCTGCGGCGGCTGCATTTCCGATGGAGGCGGAAATGTTGTAGGCCCGTGTGCTCAGATTTGTGTGCACTTTAAAGAACCCCAGGTGGTCAAAATCTCCGGAGCCCTCCACTACGGCGTCTCTCATAATCATATCGTGGTTTTGGGACGTTAAACCCCACTAATCAATCAATCAATCAATCAATCATGATTTGACCGTTTTGGTAGCGGAAGTTACATATACCTGAACAGAGCGGGTCGTGAATCCCGCGAAAAGATGACACCAACAAGCACACAATCAACATCGTTACTTCATATGCACTTATTTGTAGCATCGTAAATTAAGGAGAGAAGTGGCGCGGCGTGTACTCCCGAGTGATGCGATAACCTACACCTGTGATTATGCATACATTTTAGCATTCACCACCACACTGCACTTCAGCAACACGAGCGGCAGAGGTCTGTAGCTTGATCCCGCGAATGCGCACATGTGTTCCACGTCCCGCTAACCTCCACATTACTCACTGAAACAGTCTTTTAGTCAGTATTATCGCACTCATAGTTGGCGGCGGCGAAAACACCGTTTTTCCTTGTGGAAGCTGTGCTACTCCGACAACGGCCCGTCACACGCTAACACAAAGTGAAAGGAAAGTGAACGAATCCTTTTCTATCGGCGCTAGTAAGTTCTGTGCTGCATTACTATTCACCACCTTTCGTAAACGCCGGACCCCCCCCCCCGCCCGATTGCCAACAGAGATCATTGTTCTGAATTGCGCGCTATTACACATGATTATTCGACACGCAACCAAGGTTCTTGAATAACTTCAGTAAAATATTTCACCGCCGCAGTGCTACTGAAGTACGGTGTGTTATTTTTCACCCATCATTCTAATCAGTGCATTTTTGTTGTCGTGGTCACCGTGACAACACTCCAACGGGTGTCCCCTCATTAAATGATCCTTAAAGTTCCCTGAACAAATTCAGGGAACTTTAAGGATCATTCCGTTGTAGTATGCAGCGCCGGAGCCTAAGCGAACGCGTAGCCGCGACAATTTTTCGAAATGGCACCCTAATAGCGGAGGTATACGCACGTTAGATTATTCAAAAGTGGTCGTTGCTCTGTTCTTTCTTCGCTACGCTCCCTTCATCGGCTCGCCTCTACCACTAACCGAGGTGTGTGCTCACATAACTGCGAGCAAATTCTCTTTGTAGGCGACATGATCAGGCGCCAATGGTCACGGCTTACGCTAAGGATTACCGAAAGACCCGGATGGGAAATGAGGTGATTTATTCAGAAATCGTGGTGCTCCCGCTGCTCGGAGCACTACCACGTATGGCATATTGTTCATTGTAGTGACATCCTGAGCCCGACTTGTATTTATATTTATTGTTAAGAAAATATGGGAGGTAGTTTAGGGGCCATTTAACGTTACTATAGTTTTTTTATCCCTAACAAGTCTCTCTAACCACGCGTGTGTTTAACGCAGTCAACAACGGCGCGGGCAAGGCCGGCGACGAGTCCGACGACACGACCAAGAGTTCTGACTCCAAGGAAATGGAGGACACTCGCACTGCGTCCAAGAGCCGCCGGAGCCCGCTGCGCATCATCGGAGACTTTCTCGAGTCTCGCAAGGGCCGCTTCGGAAGCACGCACAAGAAGGTAAAGAAAAACTGGGGTAGCCTTAAGCTTCGCCTTTTAAGAGTTGAATGCAATAGCGATATTCTGTTGTACTTCAAACTCTCAGCGTATGGAATATTTTCGAACTTGCCACGCGCACACTACGTGCACCCTTAAGGACGCAGTGTGCCTTTTGTAGTGAGGGGCTGTCTAAACTATGAAGTCATTATGATTAGCCCATGTTCTGACACCCGGTGACAGTGTATGCACGTACCACGCAATAATACAGCATATTTCATGTTTTATTGTGGAGCATACACAGGAGGCATGTGTTTGTAAAGCATGAAAGTTACTTTTACTGCATTTTCAAGCAGAGGAAGTTATTTTCAGCGTATTCACATAGTCTAGACAGCAGCCGTGGTTTTTTTGTTTAGTTTTTTTGTCTTTGTGTGGTAGAACACTCGCTTGTCACGCAAACTACCCAGGTTCGATCCCTCTCAAACCCAGAATTTTTAATACCTATTTTATTGGCATCTTATTCAATTTTTTTTTGGTCAACCAAAGATGCTCGATTTTTCGGTCACGCTTACAACCAACGATGTCGATGCCGGAATTTCTGCGAAACTAGGTTTATAATGCTATCGCGTTAAAAGGGTGCCCCATCCCTTCTTGGTATGTATACAAGTATGCTTGTTTATCCTGTTTTGGCCTTTAGTCGCGATTCAGTGATCTGCCGGATCTGTATTTATGAATAGAAACCAGGGGTTCAGGACAGATAAACCTTAATTTTTACATCCTATATGGCAAAGCGGGAATAGCCAGTAATTTTGTAGCCACTTGTGACCTAGGAAAGAAGCGCAGTACCCATATAGGGCTTCTAAGGAGAATGAACGCTTCAATAAACTAGTGTGGCGTTGTATCCAATCAGGCACATCTAACCATTTACACATGTTTGAAGGTTTCGCAGATGACCACAGAATCAGAGGCGGGTTCACCCGCCAAGTACGAATCCGTTTTGAGCGAGATGAGAACTTTCGTAAGTACGCGTGCTTCACCTACAGTACGCGTGTGGTGCCGCAAATGGCTATGTCGTACTCTAGCACGAAATTGAAGAAAGGAGGTAGTCCTTTTCCCTAATAATAATTACCACCGGAACCATGGGGAAAAAAAACAAAGTTTGTAGACACTGACGGTGTCATATATGGGCTCTTTCGCAAAATAATTTCCAGTTTCTACTTTTAACCAAACATTTTAATCTAATCGGTTTTCTTTGTGCGCTAGTATCTACTTTCGGTGCGTCAGTTCACATCTCACTTCTTTTGTACCAGCTTGATTCAGCGGTTGAGTGACAGTGGGCGCGTGCTCTCTTCCTTTACCCAGTCATTCCGAGGTCGCACCGAGTCCCAGAACAAGCGGCTCAAGGCTCACCACGGCGGAGGCGGCGGTGGCACCGGCGCTGCCTTAGCGACTGTCGGCGCTACTGCAACGGCGGCCTCGTCAGCCGACGCCGCCTCACTGCTGTCGGCCGAGGAACAGCACATGGAGCTGCCGTACCTGCAGCTCCAGGAACAGGAGTCGCGTCTCCCGTCACCAACCGTCGAGCACCCGCCACCGTCTCACGGGCCGACGGCGGCGACGGAAGACAATGGTCACCCGGCTTGGAGGACGGGGTCCTCCCCGCCTCCAGGGGAGCTGGCGTCGCCCGGCGGCTCCGACTCGAGGATCGGAGGCACCGGCCAAGCCAAGGAAGGCGACCACGCCACCTTGCTGGCCGCCGTTGTCGCCAGGAACGAAGAGCTTCCTCTGCTGCATACGGATAGTGGCAGCTGCTGTTCCGAGGACGACGCGCACAGTCTGGACAGCGGCTCGAGACTGCTCTCTGAGGATCCCGATGGGAACGTGCGATGCCACATCGACCCGGAGATAATGGCCGAGATTGAGGTGGGTTCAAGCGTACGATAACTTGCACTGCAACCTGCCGAGTGCTGCATGTCCGGTCACCCTTCCCATGCTCAATATATATATATATAATTCGGATACCGCAGTAATATTCGTCGACCGTTAAAGCAAATACACACGCACAGAAGTGTACAGGTCCACGACCCGGGTCGCTCTTTTTACGCGCTTTTGTGAGTGCTGCATTGCCGCATGACGTTATGCCTCCTCCAACGCTTCTGTGAATGGGCCCCTTTACTGGCGGAGTCGCGAAACAGTGTACAGCCGAATTCACAAAGGACTCCTTTACGTGGGACAGTTATAAAGGAAAAATTCGTTATCTATACGAGGTCAATGTATAGGGCTATTTAGCGCAAAGCTGTAACACGAGACAGAAGGCAGTATACAGAGGGATACTCTCAACGAACATCCTTTAGTGTGTCACACGGGCCACTATTTACACAGAACAGATACCAGAAGCTCACGCGTAGAGTACAGTGCGCAGAATGCTGTACACTATGCGTAATCTTCGGGTATCTGTTCTGGGATTAGGAATACAAATGAATTTCTCAAAACCATTCACTAACTTTTATCAAAACGTTTCGGCAACTAAGGAGCTTTCTTTTCTAGAAGTATGCATGAACTTTCTTTTAACTTCATGCTACGAACTTGTCGTTCTCAAACTTTTTAGCTTATAGCTTCCACCACCATGCGGGATTTTGCCGGGCTGATTTCCTATAATCGCGTCTTTTAGTCTGTCCAGCAGTCTGGTAACGCAAACGCGTAGATCAGTACCAGATTGTGTGTACCATAGCTGACGCTATGTCAAGCGACTCCAGCTGTGGAAGATGAAAAGCAACTAAAAAACGCATATGTCCTCAAAGATTCCGGGAGCATCCATCACCCTCGCTAAGCATACACAATCGATTACTTGAAAAACGTTTTTCGAAAAATGTACCGTATCAACACCAATACTTTGCTATCGAAGCTCAAGTACACGAATTAAGGGCAAATAGAGACGTAAGTTCGGAGCTAACAAGCTATACCGAGCGCACGACGCCCACTCGAAAAAATTCGAGGTAGACGGCAACGGCTTGGCCACGTTTCCTGAGTGTGCATACGTGCAGTTCACGCCGGGTATTTCAGTGAACGCAAATTATTTTGAGTGTAGCGGTGAGCAAGACAGACTAAAAGTCACGATCGCGTGTCCACGTGCTTGCACTTATCGAAAAGCTCGCCCTCTCAGTTGTAGAGCGATTGCCCCGGGAAAGCAGTGGCCCCATGTTCGGTATGCGCTCTTCGTCAACTAAGTTGATCGACGTAGCGCGTTTAGAAACATAGGATAAGGGAAGGGACAGAAGGGAGCGCTTACTTCCAACAAAATCTTTATTTCTAAGTAAGCGCTCCCTTCTGTCCCTTCCCTTGTCCTATGTTTCTAAACGCGCTACGTCGATCAACTATGTCTTACCAACATGCCCAACTTTATACTCTAGTCAACTAAGCTTTCTTTCTGAGAAAACCATGTGAACTTCATTGTGGAATGACGATAATTATAGCGCGAGAACAGAACGATGACAAAAAGACCAGAAGGACACGAAGGACACGACACGTCTTTTGTCGTCGTTCTGTTCTCGCGCTATAATTATCGTCATTCCACAATGAAGTTCACATGGTTTTCTCAGAAAGAAAGCTTAGTTGACTAGAGTATAAAGTTGGGCATGTTGGTAAGACATAGTTGATCGACGTAGCGCGTTTAGAAACATAGGACAAGGGAAGGTACAGAAGGGACACGAAGGACACGACACGTCTTTTGTCGTCGTTCTGTTCTCGCGCTAAAACTATCGTCATGTCGTACCAACTAGCACAAGCTGGCACACTTCTAAGTTTCATTGTGGCTTTATGCTACAAACTTGCCTTTGTCAACTTCGCTTACTCGAGACTGTCCCATGGCACAATCTCTTCTTTTTTTTTCTTCTCTTTGCAGGCCTTCGAGCTGATGGCGCAGAGCTACCTGAAGCGTCACGGTCACGACTTCCCTTTCTGAAGATGACTGTTACTGTTGTTTATTTTTCTGCACCCTTCTTGTACATAGGCACATCTTTTCTCACCTGACATGTCTATTTATCTGCCACGTCTTTGGAATACGACAAAACCACAAATAAAATTGTTATTCGCAGCTGATGCACTAAGTGTTGGCACACGCTAAATGCGGGCTATTCATCACTTGCAGGGCGACATCGCCACGGCATCTTTAGTCTTCTTTCTGGTGTTATCCAGTCCCACGGATGGCGCCTCCTTCGACCACTGCAACCGATGTCTGGCGTTGTAGCTTCGCAACGTCAGGAGTTTTAGGATTTGCACAACTTATCGATAAGTAGCAGCCCAGGTAATATGAACTTCCACATCTCCACAGCAAAACAGTTAGAATAGAAGAGAACAGTAGAAAACTCTATTTCAACTGAGCCAATTGTTTTAGACAGCGTATTTATACCTCTTGCACAAAAATATTTCAATGAATCCTCCATCTTTATCCTTTCATAATTGAATTTCTTATCTCCTGTACATCGCGTTCATATGGTTCAGAAATGCTCGCACTCTGTATGAACGGGCGCTTTGCCCAGCCCACTACCACCGTGCAAACTTTTGTTTTAAACTGATTTCTCTTTAGTGATTTCGCGTGGGATGCGCAAATTTATCTCTGTAAAAATGCTTACTCTTATAGATTATCATGAGGTAATCATATTTTCAAACACAAAAATCATAATGCTCCCAATGATGTAATAAATACTTCGATTTATACAGCTTTCTTATGTAGTCGGTGCATATAATTTCGTCCATGGCGGCTTTCTAGCTTGCGATAAGTTTCCTCGCAAAGTGCCGCTGTTCGATCGGGTTTGGTGGCGTACTGTCAAGGATGCGTGCGTGCGACTGCGATGGTTCGGCTGTCCTATGTTTCATTGTGAATTTGGTGGGTCTTACGGAAATGTTAGTGAACCTTCTTGGCGTTATATCACTGCACAGCCGCGTAGACGTCTGTGTAGAGCATGTGCGCAGCCGGCCTCAGTGTGCGGGGCGGCACCTTGCGGCAGTTGCGGGCTCTGGCATGGAGTGCTCGGGAGCATGCACGGCCTAATGTACAGTGCTCAACTCGGTTGTCTATAACGACGGAGCGTCGCGCTCGGAACAGCATGAGCGACATCTGCAGTCGCAAATACACCACACCTGAGCACATGATGCGCGGCGCCAATGATGTGCCTGCCCTGCAGTTTCCGCCCTCCTTTATCTCCGTGGCTGCGATGGCTGCTTTGGCCGTCGAAGCACTGTCAATATTAAAATTTCGAAATAGAACAACAACAAAGAAATATTCTCGCTCCGTGGTATCATATCACAGCAATAACAGTTTTACTTCGTCTTTCTTTGTTGTTTTTTTTTTGCGAAATCGCTCGGAGTGGTTTCAACGGCCAAAGCGGTTGTTGCATCCGTGGTGATAAACAGGGATCAGTATTGCGAGGCCGCACATGCTCAGATGTGGCGTATTTGCAACTGCAGATGTCGCTTAGAAGTGTGGCAGCTTGGGCTAGTTGGTATGGCATGACGATAGTTATAGCGCGAGAACAAAACGACGACACAGAGACAACAAGGACATGAAGGATACGTAGCACTTGTGTCCTTCGTGTCCTTCTTGTCTCTGTGTCGTCATTTTGTTCTCGCGCTGTAACTATCGTCGTGCAGATATCGCCCGTGCTGTTTCGCGCACGACGCTTCATTGATGTAGACAGCCGAGTTGAGCACTGTACATGCTGACGTTCTTTTCAGAGAGTGATAACGTTGAAAGGAGCACCTGTTTAACCGAGAAAAAAAAACACTCTATCTTGGGGTGCTTTCGGCATCTCTATCCCAAAATATGACGTGTTTCGACCGACAGCGCGTGTCTAGGCGCGGGCTCATAGTCGTTTTTTTTTTTCGTAAGCAGTTCCAAGCAATCCAAGCAATAGTGTTGCTTAGTGGAAGCGCATCTGCTTGCCACGCAGAATACGTTGGGATTGGTTCCCGGCTGAACTAAAGTTTTTTTTTTTTTTAATATGAGTTTTCACACTCTGTCGTGTTCTTCTCTCTGTGTCCCCTTCGGCAGAGCGTACTCTCCGCTAACGATGTCGACCATGATTTTTCTCTCGATCCTAGCGACGCTGACACCGACACCAGAATTTCTGTGACACGAGTTCTTTCGCGCCACCGCGTTAAAGTGCACTCAGAATAAATGGTATTACAAATAATGAAAGTTCCATTAATGAAAAATGCAAGGTTTCGTGGGTACAGACTTACCTTTTTGGTCAGAGATTCACCCGGAATAAATTTCATTACAATCGGAAAAAAACTTTGAAAAATGAAAAAAATACGAATTTTCTAACGCTTTATATGCTTGCATTTCCGGTTATGAATGCACCCAAAATAAATTCTATGAAAATAGGAAGACATTTCAAAAATTCAAAAATAGAGGATTTTCAAAGGCTTCCTTTATCAGAAATTTGCCCGGAACAAAATTTGGTGTGTCCACTGCATATTTTCAAAAATTCATATCTGAATGGGATGTTTGCTTATCGTTTGTATATCTAATCCACGTGTCTGCCCACATTTCAAAACGCTGGTTAAGTCAACCAAGATCTGATCTTTCTTTTGCGCAAAAAGTAAATGATAATCCATTGAGGAGCAACCGCGAGGGAGGGGAGTGACTGTTCATCCCTTCGCACTAACACCTAAATTAGAATAATGGCTGTGGCAGCTTAGCTACTCCTCTAAAAGAGCAACGTCGACACCCCTCTCCTCCTTCGTAGATTGCAGGCAGTCGAGGAAGAGTCGAACCGCAGACCTTTCGCTCCCTGGTGGAGTGCCTTACACACCTCAGCCGCGAGCACATACATGTTCATGTGTGCAGTGAGCTACTTACACACATACATTAAAATTGAGGGCCTTCCGTATCTCTGAATCTGCTTCACTGAGGCTTGTTCACTGACCACCAGATGCCACGCAATAACGCGCGCTTGGCACTTTACGCAATCGGTGCCTTTGTGTCCGCCAGATGGTGCAAAGGGCATCGGCGTGTAAAGAGGCCGTGGCTTAGCGCAGCATGGCAGGCTTTACAACAAACGCAATCTGCGAAGCCACGAATACAGCCATCCTGGATTAGGCACCGCGAAAAGACAACCGTCTTGATTTGTGCAAGAATACGTAAATTATTCTGCTTGGCGATTGAACTAACGTTTTTTTTTTTTTTTTGGTCAGTGTATTGCGCTAGTGTGTGTAATTTCTTCCCTTCGTCCTCGTCTTTTCGCGCCCACATCCAGGAGGCATGACAGACCAACAAGCCCGCATCGCTACTCTTGTCATGAGTACAATATCTATAGCTGTGACGTATTCGCTGCTCAGTTCAGGCTCAAGAGAGTACCAGAATGAATGTTGGCACTCGCTTTTTCCAGGTCCAGCCACGTCGGAACTGTCATCCGTTGTAGTCAGATTCACAGGCTTCGTCGTAAGCCCTCAATCACGGATCAGCAGCGCACCTGTGCGTTTCATGTGATACCATCACATCATCGTGTAGCCATGTTCGGGAACCACCCGTAGGGGTTCAGCGTGTGCTATGCCATAGTCAACAAATTATACGCAGTACCAACGAATTGCCCACGGGGTCTGTTTGTCATCAACACCAGCACGCTACGCGCAGCGCATTGAGTATCTCATTAAATATGGCTCCAGTCACGCCCACGCCACCACAAAGTTGCTTACTCATCCTTGCTGCAGTTGATGTTGCCTCTAAAGTTGCTACATTCACTGGGTAGATTGTTCCGACGTCCTTATATGGCATTCCTTGCTTCGCCCATCTGGTGAATCAGACATTTTGCGTTGAGCATAGATGAAGGAAGGAAAAGGTGAATGAATTGAACGATACCTCAGGGTTGGCAACAAGCATATTTTTTATTCTTCATTGTAGGCACCATTTCAGTGCCTCTAAATCACAATCACAGTGGCCAAAAATAGTTGGTTTCAACACAGTTCAACGAAATAAAAGTGATTAAAACGAGACATGTGTAGCGACCTCTGAGTGTATACGAGAAGAACAATAAATCAAAAGTAAAGTGTAGCCGCCATCTAAACTCGGATCACAGAGAGGCGCTTCGCACACTTGTAAACGGCTAGTTTGGTGCTTCAGCCACACCAAATAATTCAGTACTTGCACATCTGATAAAGCCAGAAATGACTCTCGACAATGATGCCGATCGACGTACATCATATATACCCTTTATGTAATCGCATGAAAGACATGAAGGTTTTGGATTGTTCGGTTTCCGCAACAAAGAGAAGAGGAAAAAGAACAATCGTTATTCGCGTTACGTAGTGTTCTCGAAGAACACTAACACCATTTTTTTATAGGAATACAACACTCGCGCTAAGTACTGAGTTATGTCGAATCGTAGATTGCGGGTAACACAGTAACATGCCCACAGCAATCGATGCTGGTGGCCACGATTGAACGAACGACTCCGCAACCACACTTACGACTCCACAACTGAATAATGACTGACAGATACACAATCTTGATTGATCTACATCAGTGGGTGTAGGCAAAGGCAGTGTTCCCTACGCAATATCGCTCGCCATTGACAAAAAAAATATATTTTTTCTTTCTTTCGATACAATGAAACCGCTAACAGTTCTACTATAGTAAATTAGCTTCCCGTATTATCTCAAGACACTGTATGCACCGGACGATTACCTGAGGTCATTCCTTGTCCCAACATGGTGAGACTCGCTAAAGTAGGCCTCAAGTCGAGCGCAGGAGGCACACTCTCTCGGGGCCTACTATCATTTGTCATAGAAATATGCTATAATGCGGGCGTCACGATAGTGCTGCCGTAGGCTCAGTGGTGTAACTAAGAACCACTCTTGTAAGGGTTCGATTGCTATACGTGACAAGAATCCTTAGCTTACCCTTTCATTTTGCTCAAAATGTCTGACATGATAGAATAGAATGAAGCCAGAAAGAGCGTAGCGGAAACTACGAATTATGTTTAAAGGGGCCCTCACGACAGACGATGACTTGGTTTAGATTGACCAACCTTACTTTGAGAACTCTTGTGTTATATGTTTCACTATCGTAAGTTCAT